TGACTCACCGTTGACTCATGGTCTTTACATGCATTCACTCTTTAGGTTCAGAAGTCTAAGCGATCAGATTTTTATTTTTTTTAATTGTCACCCACCAGAAAAAGGAAACCTTAGAAACCTGCAGGTATTTGATTTCTAGCTTTAACCTCATCGCACCTCACCTCATTATGGCTACTCATAACACATCAAAGTAATTTAATTATAGATTTCTGTAAGTTTACACATGTATTTCTTTAAATTTCAGCCCAAAGAGTCATGCTGAAAGGTCCAGATTTGATTTACCAACACGGCATTTTTATTTCTGTAATACAAAAAGACTGAGACATAATGCTTCAGATAAACACAGTATCACTGGTCTGATCCAAACACGCATTGATGTAAACATTTTGTTGCAAGATCACAAGCTTCTGTTAATACAGTTAAATCAGCCGTCACCTGCACAGAGAGACTATGGCCGCTTTTGGGCAATAATTGTATCTAATTAACTAATTTATTTATAAGCACATTTAAAAACAACATGGGTTGAACCAAAGTGCTGTACATAATGAAAATAGTAAACCTTTTCATTATTCATTACTATTAAAAGAAGTGTGTTTCAGGCTTTCAGTCACATTTCTGCATGAAGATTGGTACACGGCACATTCTTCTCAGCAGTGAGCATGCAAAGTGAATTTATGTAGTTTTTTGTCTTTAATTTTCTTTCTTTTGTATATACTGCTCTCTATTGGAGGTATACACCCCACATTCACCATTATTGTGGAATCCAAATGAGCATCAGCACAAACTGGTGCTTGCGTCATTGTGCGTCATTGTTCCACACCTCTTCTGAGACTCAACTTTCCAGCACCATTCATTACGCAATTCCTTGCATAACGAAACACACCTTTACGCATTTTACATACATATAAATACCCACGGTAACCATTACATGAACACAGCTATAGAGGATGAGTGAGACTCCTGACGATGTGGAAAATCCTTCATCAACCAGCAACCATGATGGTGATGATTCCTCCGATTGTAGTGTTACGTTGGTGCAATTATTATATATTCTAGCTTTCACACAATGAATAACTACCATCTTCAATTTAATTTGATTGTTGAGGGATTGAAGTGTTTCCTTTCCGTCTCTGCTTCCTAAAGTAAAGTATGAGCATAGGGTGAAAGCAGGAGGTAGATAGTCGAGTTATCCATTGGTCTACGGCGTTTATAAATAAATGTTTTCATTCTGCCGACTGTGCTTGTTGGCTGTTGATATTGATGACTATTGCTATGTGATATTTTTGCTGTGCGTGTGTGTGATTAGATTTGCTCAGACCTGTGTTCTGTTATATAATACGGAACACATGGTCTTTGTAACTTAAATATTTTAATGTGTTAGGAATTGACTCGTGTGGATAATAACACATTTTTCAAGAGTATAGGGGCTGATAGAATATATTAAGATCTGTACTAGGTCAAAAAAGGCGAAAAGAAATTAGTGAATAAATATAGAGTTTGTAATATCTTAATTTTTTTTTTCAGAAATCAACACATCACTACAAGAAGCAAACGTAAGTGCAGCCATTATTATTCTTATTTTTCAAAACTCTTGCTTTTCTTTGTAATGTGGATATCAGATGTGGTTCTTTGCCATTAGCTCTGGTGAATGACAACAACAGACGTCATCGCTCTCTTGATGACTGAATTCTTGATTTTAAACTAACAGAACTCAAACAGTTCATATAAATGGACTCATGTCCGATCAAGTTTGATCCTCAGCAGCTCCTTACAGGGATCTCAGACTAATTTATCTTGTACACAAATATGTGTCTGAGCGGATGACTGTTATTGTCATAGTTGTTATAGTTATCTGTAAAAATCAAAACCTCATTCACTCAAATCATTAAATGGTCTTAAAAGCTAATGATGAGCCACAGCTGAACCCAGCTGTACGCACTGAGGTCTACAAACCTCAGTGCGTACAGCATCAGTTTAGTTACATTAGTAACTAAGTTACAAAGATTTACTTTGTAAAGTGTGTGTGTATATGTGTTTGTGTGTGTGTGAATGTTAGGCTGCATATTAACAGAAACAAAAAACTACAAAGTGGAAGGCAAGAAAAGTACATAAATGAAAATAGAGTAGTTACAGGTCATTTCTGAATATGATTTATAGCCTTAACATAACTTTCATGTCCGTTTCAGTCTGTTTGTCTCTGACAACAGGGACTTGCTCACACTCACAGGCTGCTCTCATGCTATCAGAGATTATTATACACTTATATATAAGTATAAAATACTTATTATAATTCTTGAACTCTTATTATTATTCTTTTATTAATAACTACATTATATTTTAATTATATACTTATTTTAAAGAAGTGTGAACTTCAACACCGGGTTGTCCCAACCCTACAGTCCTGTAAATCAGCATTCCAGTAGCACACATAACAAAACACGGCACACATCACTGACAGGAACACAGTGGGAAATGATTTGTAGAAACTACTTCTACTTGTGACGCATTTCAAGAAATGAATCACAGCTCACGTGTGCTCACTCACCCAGTATCAACGATACTGATCAGATACCAACACTTTGTACAAAACCTAATGTCTTTGGAAAATATG